AATATCTTCTCGTTTAATTTTATAATTTTTTTTTCCAAGGGGTTAGAGTTACTTATTTAAATAATATTTTAAATTATATTATTATAAATATATAATAAAATTAAATATATATAAATTAAAAAATAAAATTAATTAATTAATTAATTATAATAATATAATTATTATATATTTATATGTTTAATATTTAATTTTATTATTTAATTTGTTTTAAAATAAAAAAAAAACAAAAATATGCATATGTTATTGATTAATATATAATTTGTATGAGGGTCGTCATAATAATTAAGTTAAAAATAATTTCTAGGACAAGTTTATATTAGGATACATTAAAGTATGAATTTATAGACACACTTTGATCAAAACAACCCTCTTTAAACGTTTCTAATTTAACAAATGAATGTTTAATTATTAAACGTTATCATATATATATATTAATTATAATTAATAAGAACGATTAATTGTACAGTTAATATTTTCTAATGAATAATTTTTCTAACGATAAAGAAGGGCGAAATGCCTTGGATGGATGGATGGATGGATGTTTTAAATGCATGTCCCTCGTTTAAGATTATCATGATTGTAATATCGAGCGTGGTTAACGTTTGAAAGGGTCATTGGAGATCGTAGAGATCCACCCTTATAACACAACAGACTTGTCGTGTCTTTATTAAGGGGGTAATAAAAAGATAGAAAGAGAAAGATATAGAAAGAGTTCACGCTCAAGAGAGGGGGGGGGAGAGAGAGAGAGAGAGAGAGAGAGAGAGGTGGTTTAGTTGCTTATGTTAGAAAACTGATGTGTATAATACACCTGTATTTATAAGTATATGTGTGTGTGTGTTGTATGTTTAACAAAAAAAATAGGACGATCAAGTTTCCAGGTCAGAGAGCCTTCTGAATGAAGCGTACCCTGCCTGCCTGCCTGTCTTGTCACGGTGTACGAGTTTTCGCACTCCGTTAAGTTTGAAAACGTTTTTCAAGGGTGTCGTCGTGTCATGTCGTGTCATGTCGTCTCTAAAGAAGAATGAGAATTTAATCTCATGTTCTATATATACAATTGTATATATATGTTTGTTAATAATTCTATGTTCTGTTAATTTTAATCAATTGCATATATGCATTGACAGCATTCAAAGAGTTAAATCAAACGAGAATAGGAATATGTCATAAAATTTGAATTGAAATGAATTAATTCTAATAAATAGATATATGTATTATTTTAGAATGTGGGGACTAACTGTGTGTGTGTGTGTGTGTTAGTGTGTGTCATTATCACGTTTATAAGTATATGTAACTACAAGGTTGTATAGTTTAGTTAGTAGAAAAAAAATGACACAAGCTTCATTCTCGTATTACGAGTAGAAACTATATCTATTAGACCTAGTGACCGACCTCCCCCTACACACATATTGCAATATTAGAGCAGAAAGTTAATCGAGTCAAATGATCAATGAATGCACGTGAGTGCACTTTATGCGTATAATCGGTGATAAGGGGGAAAGAAAACTACGTCGTTTTGTTAATTTAATTGATCAATTTTGATCAATAATTATAGTTTTGAATTTATGTTAATTGGGTGGGTACTTTGATGTATCCCTGAAATATGCTTCAATCATTTTATTTTAATAACACACACGTGTATTAAATGAATTTTTTTAGTTAATATTAAAAAGTTCAGAATAAACTACGTGTGATTTTGTTGATCTAATTGATAATAATTATAGTTTTGAATTTATGTTAGTTGGGTGGGTACTTTGATGTGTCTTAAAATATGTTTCAATGTTTTTTTTCTTTAATAACACACACACGTTAGTTATTATAATTAATATTAGTTAATTAAAGTTAGTTAATTAATATAGTTAATAAATTTTATAGTAATATATAGTATACTATTATGTATAATATATTTATATTAAAACTATATACTATACATTAATTACTACAATACTTTTATTAATAATTTTTACTATTTTTTATTATTATTAATTTTAATTAATTACTATTAATATTATATTACTTATATATATATACTATATATTAACTACAAAACATATACTATATATTATATATTATACATAATATAATTATAGTAATATTAATATTAAAATATATTATAATTACTATAATTATATTATAAGTCAAAATAAAAATGAGTTTATTAGTTATTACTTATCACATTATTTGAAACTAAATAAATTCAATGTAATTTAAAAAAGGATATTGTCAAAAATGAATGAATCGTTAGATAATGTTTAGTTTTTTTCAATATTACATAGAATTCATATAATGTTCAAATAGAAATTTTGAAATATCTCGAATCAACAGCTACATGACTTAATAAACCACTTTCATAATTAATAAGCACATATATAGAAACACGTTTTGTAAAATATAAAATGATGTCACATATATTCATCATCATAATCATTGTCTTCTTTGTTATCAATGATCTTTTTATTATTGTATTTCTCATTTCTCTTTTTTTGTTATAGGCTCTATATTATGTATTTTATGTAAAGGATATATAACTGTAATCAATGTAAATGTAACTGTATAATACCTGTTATCATCGTAGGAGGAAACTATAGTGTTCTTCTGTTGTTTCCTCGTTTCTATTTTATGTTTACGAGAATCACCACCACCACCACCACCACCACCACCACCACTGTTCAATCCCTTTTTCTCGTCGTCAATTTTTTTAGAATTAGGTGATGAGTTGGTGGAAGTGGGATGACTGATAGTTACAGAGGAAGATTCTTTTTTACAATATGACAAATCTGTGTCGTAACTATCGTCACTACAACTGTCATCAATGTCACTGCACTCCTCGTCACAAGTTGGTGCTTTCAAATTCTCGTGGATCCACCTTAAGCTCATTATCGATCGACCTAAACCACCCTTTCTTTTTTTCTTCTTCTTCTTCTTCTTCCTTTTTATTTCTTATCTTGATTGTCCGAGTCTTTCTACCTGTTTTAGGTCTTTTTTTGTTGTTGTTGTAGTCGTCGTTGTCCTACAAACAACACAATACGTAAAACTTTAATTCAACAAATATATTTCTTCTGTATTTTCTATTAAGTTTGTTCTTCTTCTTCTTCTTCTTCTTCTTCTTCTTTGATTTCAATCGAATTCTAAAATTATAAAATGGGGGTGGATATAAATAGCAAGGAGATATGAGGTTGATAAATGGTGTTCTTGATAAATGAATGAATGATTTGAAAAGTTAATCATTTTCTTTTTTTTTTTTGCTTGGTGGGTTAAATTAATTTTATTTTTTATTTTTTAAAAGAAGGTTTAGGTTGTCGAGATAGAAAATTTGTTTAAAACAATCTTCCTTCTTTCATATATTAAATAGTTTTGAAATTATTTCTTCTTATTAATTTTAAATAAAATATTTTGCAGAATTTGTATTGTTAGAATTGGTATTTCAAAGAAGAAGAAGAAGAAGAAGAAGAAGTTAGAAATTTTAGGTGTTACTAAATTAATATTTATTTTATAATATTATAAATCATTTTAAAATTATTTCTTCACGTGTTTTAAAATTGTATTTCAAAAAAGAAGAAGAAGAAGTAAGAAACTTTAGGTGTTACTAAATGAAAATGAATTTTATTTTATTATAAATATTAATCCAAGACACACATAACACACATTCTATGATCTAAGTTATATAATCCAACACCATTTTATAATTCATAGAATTGAAAATAGAAAAAATACAGTTTATTTTTATTAGTGGTGGAATTAATAGTAGTAAAACGATGTTTCTGAGTTTGTAGATAACGGGAAATCTCTCTCTCTCTCTCTCTCTCTCTCTCTCTCTCTCTCTCTTTATATATATATATTTCTCTTTTTCTCTTTTTCTCTGCTTATCTCAAGATCCAGGTCAGCTCGTTTTTTTTCTATTTTTTTTTTTTTTTTGAATTTTCACTGAATAAAAAAAAACACGTATGGCTCGTGCAAATGATATGCATAGATATATATATATATATGTATGTACTTAAAGTACCAACATAACAACCACCACTATTACACACTGTTATTAGAAATGATTCAGAATTCATCTTTCCCATCGTTTTAAGAGATATTTATTTGCAAAAACTTGAATATTTCCTTTTAACATGAGAAAAAGAGATAGAAAATGATAAAAAGATAATGATTAAGAGAAAAAGAAAGATATCATATTTGCAACGGTGAAAATAATGCGGTTGAGGATTAGCGGTTGTCTCGGTCTGTTAATATTGCGAACGTTCAAGTTGAAAAATAATTGTGTTAGAGAAAGAAAGAGAGAGAGAGAGAGAGAGAGAGAGATAGAGAGAATGAAAAAGAAGAAGAACCCATTTAGATTTATTCAAACGTGTGTCAATATAACATAATCACATATGTAGCACACACATATATATATATAGAATTCATTCAGTGAAATTGCACGTGTGCCATTCAATTTGAATCGGTTTTATAAGATACACACACGATTATGTTTCTTTTAATAAACATTTTGTTTTATGATGCATATATAATATTATCGTAGTTAAAAATCACAGAAAAGTAAAAAATAAACAATTAATTTTTTATATTAAATAATAATAATTATTATAATTATTATTAATTAATAATATTAAAATTTTATTATATATATATATATATATATA